AGATTGTCGGGTAGTCATTTTTCAGAAAATCAGATGCATAGCTCTGTGACTCGAATGTGAAGGTAATACAGGAGAGGCACAGACCAGGCCTAGAGCAGAGTGTGTCATGGTTTCAGTCTGCTTTCAGGGATTGCAATAATTTAGTAAGATTTAAAAATTCAAAAATGGTTTATTCATTATAGTGCATTTTGTAACCGTAAATAAAATACCTTATAAATCAAACAAAATATCACAATATACCATTTATCTTTCAAATGTTACCAAAGCTAATACTGAAATATCAGCGCGTGCAGGGGTCAGCCCAGTATATTTAAATCTATTGATGTACATTTAAAGACTGCCACAGCTTTACACATCTGAATGCAATGGAAGATTTCCGATGTCCCCCATACATGGCTTTGAATAGAGAGCACATTTGTCACACTGATCATCAAAGTCAGCTGTTATGTACAGTATGATTCCAGTATTCCACTGTTTCTATAGCTATATCACATTTTTGTATTGAGTAAAATGTCTAAATTCAATGTTTTATTGAAATGAATGGTTGCTCCACAACTTATCGAATTCTGCATCTGTTTATCATCATGACAGATTTGGTATCTTTGGCAACCTTAAGATCTTCAGTGGAACTTTTACTGTTTTTTATGAGGGCTTGAATGATGCCTTTCTGCATGATAATTGAGTCGTCAGTGGGTTGAGGCTCCGTGGGATGAAGAGATCAAGCCATACTGGATCGTTGCCACGCATACTGACAGCAATGCACATGATATGTTTGTGCTCTGCTCTCTGTAGTACACATTTTCAGTGGCGGCCTTGCACACTCAGTAGCCTTCGGGGCGATAGACTGTTTTTTATAAGCTTCTCCATCAAACTGAAAGCATGTTTTTCATCTCTACTTGAGTTTATTCATGGCCACTGCCACAGTTCAGGAGCTCCCGTGCTGCAGCACAGTCAAGAGCCAAGTCCTTGATCCCGGGTCATGACCCCTGTCAAAGTAGTGGCTCTTTCATCCCTGGTGACAGCTTTCCAAACCGAGGGGAGCGTTACTACATGCCAGTGCCTCTCACCACGTGGATAATGAAAATGAGGAACTGTGACATATGTTTCAAAAATATTTGCAATCAGAATATTTTGTTCCTGTCTATATCTCTAAAATGTCATTTTTTTCCTTGATTCAGACAGAACAGGCATGTTTAAACCTTTATCGCAGCACACTTCTGAGTTCATCTGGAGGCCTTGAAAGCGATTCATAAGACCCAAGATGGTCTAATCTTCTTAACCCATAGCGAAGCGTGTAATCCTTACAACATGACAATGACCAATATTGAGGTTATGAGATTTTAGCAGGATGACTTTTTTTTTTTTTCCTCATGCAATCTTTCCTTCAGATGGATACACAGGCTCTTTTTTTATCTTTAAAACTTTAATAAGCTACTTTGTGGTGTCCTTTGAGGACTGTCCTCTGCAATTCCTGCAGTATTAGCGTAACTGAGTGAATGCGACAGGGAATATGACCTGCTTGCTGAAAGTATTCAGTCCCAAGATTGCAGAGGATCTGAGCAAAAGGAGCAACTGAGGAAATCTTGTCCTCAGAGTGTGGACCTCAGGGCCTTTTAGTCTATTAATACAAACGAATTAAAAAGAAAGACTGCCAGTAGGAAGAGAATTTTACACCTGTTTTTTATACAAATTTAATTGAAATTTTAATAGTTTTTCAAGAATGTAATTTTTTATAATTCTGCATAATGAATTGCTTTATTCTGCCATACATTAATATAAAGACAGTAATGTCCAGAAAATTTCTCATTACCCAAAAGAAAAAAGTTTTGAAGTCTGCATCCATATGACCCTGAATAACCTTTTAAGATGAATGTTTTTGTATTGTAAAGCAAAGGAAATATTACAAAAATAAGATAATAAAAAAAAAAAAATCATTACAGTATGATTAGAAGATTGTCCCACTGTCATTGTTTGAAAACCAATGATTAACAGAAAAATAATTGAGAAACTGTCACTAAGTTTAGAAAAGAAAAGCTTTGATTTGCTTGATTTAAGCTAATTCAGCTCACAAGTGTTTGAATCAAACGTTTCTTCTCAGTAAATGTTGGAGGAAAACAAATTGATTTGTTCCCAGTAAGTAAGATGAAGTTGCGTAACTGACAAACTGCATGGAAAGAGACAGTGTTGTTCCAACTCTTCAATCAGCTTCTTTCTATCTCCCCATCTCTATCACACACAAACATGTACATGGACGGACACACAGGAGTGCACATGGATGCACGCCCACGCATGGCCAGCTTGATTATGACTCACATTCATCTGTGAAAACAAGACGTTGTTACCTGTGTCTCTATCTCTGCCTGAGGCCCTGCCCTTTATACATCTGCGAGTCTGCTGCAAGAAACATGTTCAAGCTATCCTGTTGTTTTAACACCTAAAAACTGCAGTATCAGTTTTGTCACAGCCTTGTCTAAAGTGTCATTTAAGCGGTAGAACTTGATAGTAGATCCATGTCAAACCAAATCCAACCGCAGCTATTACACAGAAAGAAAAATCCCCAAGAAACAAACTGCATTTTCTCCAGTACGCACTGATCAAACCCTCCCTGACAGATGTCACCTCTGCTGCACTCTCTCTGCCTGATCCTCACCAAGTCCCAGTCCCCTCTGAAGCTCCAGCACCTTGATCATCAGCCCACACAAGACACTGGCACTACCGCCACACGTCTCTACAAAGGTGCACCGGAGCAGAGAGGAAAATGACTGCATGCCCGCAAAAGTACTGCATCTCTGCTGGAGGTGAGGGAGGGGAAAGAGATAGAGGTGGAAGAGAGATGATGAGAGAGAGAGAGTGAGTGAGGAAAGGAAAGAGAAGGAGAACAATGTTAGTGTTTTTACCCAATCACCAACCAGATCCCAGTTAAGACCTCTCTTTTTGTTAAAGAAGTCTTTTGTGGAATCATGACAAAGGTGCAGAAGCGAGCCTTTGTCTGAAAACAAAGAGGAGTGTGTTTGTGTGCAAAGAGAGAACCTGCCATTGTGGTTGTGTGTGTGTGTGTGTGTGTGTGTGTGTGTGTGTGTGTGTGTACGCAAGAACCTAAGTGTGTGCACATCGGAGAGCAAGACAGCATGTGTTGGTTTGAGAAACTGCTTGTCTAAGTGTGAGGGAAGTGTGTGTAACAGATGCAAGCTCTGTATGTGAGTGTGCAGTTGACTGACTGTGTGCGACCGTCTCCCTCATTTTCTTTGTGCTGATGATTGGGGTTTGGGGGGGGGGGGGTGAGATGGCCTCTGCTCATCTGTGAAATTCTCTAATGATCTCACGTGTGCACATGCACGTGCACCAAGTGCAAAACGCACTCACACACAGCCACACACACACTCACACAGACAGAAAATGTCACTCCCATGTCACCCCCCCCCACCCCCCCACCTTGTCGCCGCTGTCAACAGCCCGGCATCTCAAGAAAAATAAGAAGCGATACATCAGAGAGACTGCCGTCACTGCCTATATGAAAATACACTCAGACAGACACACACACACACATGTGCACACACACAAACAGAACGGCACAGACAGTGACGAATCAGCCTCTACAGCTTCCTTGCTAATGGAAATCCTACCCAGCAGATGTGTCCTGTTGGAAGAACACATGGAGTGTGAAACAGGCTTATGAACGCATACAGGTAGTGAACCAGTACCCACGGTCTGTGCAGCCACCAGAGGATACTGTAGGTGTGTGAGTGAGTGTTTGTTTATGAGAGCCTGTGTGTGTCAATGCTCAATGAGACTCAAATGAGTGCATGACCTAAAAAAGAAGAAACAATATCCAGACACTGGTAAGGATGCAGGACAGTGCAGCATCATCCAGACTGGATTCATGGAAGCTACTTGTAAACACAGATAATTAAATATACAGCAGCCATCAGCCTGAAGGAAACTAATCAAAGGAGTGCAAATAGAAGGGAGTAGTTTGCTAAGTGCCCTCATACCACACCGTGCAAAGATAGACAGTGTAATTCGAGGGTAATATCTTCCACAGTAATCGGGATGGCGCTTGGTAAAACAAGGCACGAAGAAGAGAGGTGATGAGGTGAGAAGGTGTTTCCAAAAGGTGAAAAAAAAAATAACTGCAGGACAGGGGAAGAGAGGTGAAGTCACTGTAGAAAGAGGAGGGGAAGTGAGAAAATCTCACAAGAAGAGATGGGTGTCAGGAGAGCAATCCTGCCATGCTTAAGGAGGAAACAAAGGTAGCAGAGTTAAACTAGGGACAGCGATAAGTGGGACAGATGGATGGCTGCTGAATATATAAACAGTCTCTGTCTGGAGAGCAGGCTTTTCTAAACTGCATGAACTTCATCTGAATTGCCCCTGCACTGCACCCAAAATAGAGCCCCCCCCCCAATATTTATTGCTGCATTTTTCATTTTTAATATCTAATATTCAGCTCTTCTGTAGTGTTCCATATATGCACCTCAAACAAACAAATAAACAAACACACACAAGACAAACAAATAAACAAATAGAACAAAAAAAAAACAAACAAACAAAAAAAACACCCAGTTGTTAGGTGGTGCTGTGCTCTGTATGAACCCATGCATGGATGGCTCCATGTTATTCCGCTTCAGCGCCCTCTTAGAAAGTCGCCGAGTGCGCATGCCTGGCTAGAGCGCACTACCGCAGACAGGGGGCGTCAACATGGCGCTCTCTCCTCGACGACCGCACTGACTGCAACCTGCCAATGAGAGAGAGAGAGAGAGAGGGAGAGACGGGAGAGAGAGAGAGAGGGGGAGAGAGAAGCGTAGGCTACCGTTCTGTCAAACCTCCATCCTTTTTTTCCCAGCCCTATGAATCCCTACATATTTTCAGGAGGATAGGGTGAATTCAGAGGATTTTTTTTTTTTTTTTAAATCACAGCTCTCCCTTGTTTTTCCTGCGCAGTGGATGGTTTTTGTGCAGCAGCAGCAGCAGACGCCCGAGCTTGTAGAGCAGGTGTGAGAGACAGCGGCGACCGCTCCTCTCCTCCCTGTTTCCAAGGGGAAATGTCGAGCGAGAAGCCGGTTTCAGCACCACCTGGCTCTGCTTCTTCGCTCACGGACACAGACCGAGACTCCCATCCTCCGCCGGGCTCCTCCGTGCAGCAGGTCGCCGCGGGCGCTAGCTCCGGCGCCACCGGGGAAAGGATGGTGTCTGCAGCCGGCTCTATGGTCCTCCCGGCCGGCGTGATCAACCCCGCTGTCCCGATCAGGAATATCCAGATGAAATTCGCCGTGCTGGTGGGCCTGATCCAGGTCGGGGAGGTTAGCAACAGGGACATCGTGGAGACCGTGCTGAACCTGGTGAGTGGAAGCAGGACCAAGCAAGGGTTAGAAAACACAAGAGAGGCAGCCATAGAACACAGTAGAATCACTGCGCCCTAACCCGCTATGTTTTATTTACGATGCCTCACTCCCCTGGTTGTGTGGCTTTCAGAGGATGATGTCATTTGTTTGTTCGTAGGATGGATGTGGCATATTTCATTTCTGCAGATAACAAGCAACAAAAACACGAGGCCGCTTGTCGGGGAATAAATAAAGCTATAATATTGTAAAGCCATAGAGGAGCTGAAGCTGAATGAAGCATGTGACCCCACCGAGGCATGGAGGGTAGTCTAACCACCAGCCATTGTTGACTAAATGACCCGTTTGCGGTGCAACGAGGAGAAGGTATTCGCAGTCACACTGTGTCGGATGGGAGAAAGTGTATGCAGGCTATTCTCTTGACCCCGACGTGTACCCCGAAGTGATGCATAGGCAGCTGGTCACAAACGGCGAATGCTTCCAATGTTGCGCACGAGACCCAAACAGAATAAATTCGTTTTCCTAAGGAGCGAAACGAGGCAGGTACACACTCCAGTCGAGCACTGGAACAAATTAATGCAACACGGACAAAGGCCGACTAGCATCATGCTATTCATCGACATATGTATGTGTGTGAGAATGGCTCAAAAATTATGCATAGGCCTATTGTTGAAGGCAGGGCCCTGCATCCTGTGCGCAGAGCAGTGATGTATAGGTGGCTGTGACACGGTTAGCGGTTTATATTGCTCTGCCTCAAACTGCGATTGTTTAATCTATGGATCAGATATACGTTGCCACCCCCCCCCTCTCTCTCTTCCATCTTCACTCCTCCATCGGAGGTTGTGTCGGCGATGCTGGGCCTACCCTACACAACACATCAGGGGGATTTAATCCAGCTGGAGGGGGGGTTGACATGACTGGTGTTTCCCGTTACGAAACTGATGAGCAAAATGTACAGCAGACGTGGGTCATGAGGGCTAATGCGTTAGGAGGATATAGGACTTGTGTGTGTTGGATGCTGCCAGGCTGTTTTCCCTCCTCCATGCATCAGGCGATGGCGTGTACTGCATGATATTACATATCTGCCATGAAAAGGGGGGGTCTAGTCATTATTCATTTTCTTTTGAGGAAGAAGTAGAATAATGTGGACATTATTTATAACCTGCCTTCAGTGCAGTGCTTTCTGGAGGTTGACTATTTCAGGGTTTTATGGAGCCGGTGTGGCCTATTTACTCACTGGATGCTTGGAGCAGGACAGCCTACAGCTGGGCTAAACCATTTTCCTCTCAGTCAGACTGATGAGCCGTCCGGATTCAGGTCGCCTCTCATCTCCCAATCGATTATTGGTACTACATGGAAGAGCAGGGGGGCTTTGCTGGCTCACTCCGACCTTGTCTCCTTCCCTTACACCGCGTCCCCCCCACCACCACACACACACACACACACACACACACACACACACTCACACTCACACCCACACCCCCTGGCTGCACAGGCTGATAACCATCCATCCTGTTCCACGGCCCTCTCCTTCACTCTGGAGGGGCTGAGAGAAGTGATGCTGCCTGCATAGACTGGCCTGGCAGGGCAGCGCCATGCATTTAAAAGCAGGTGGAGAGGAGGAGGAGGAGGAGGAGGAGGAGGAGGAGAGGGAGGGTGGGGGAGGAGAAGAGAGAGAGTGGAGGAGGAGAGGTGGTAGGATGCTGCAGTGGCTATGTGCTCAGAAATCACCAGCTGATGCAGTGGAAGAGGGAAGGACTCTGGATTGGTCCACAGCAGATCAGTGAAAGCTCATCAGTGCATTCAAGTGAAATGTACTCCATTTTACAGAAATACCCGCGTTTAGGCCCACACTTTTTTTTTGTGAATGTTGGTCTGATGCATTAACACACAAAGGCCTGACACTCTGACAAATTAAAGCAGTATGTGTTGGCATTATAAAGCTTTACTTGCTAAATCCTGAATTGAACAATCAGTTCTGGTTGCAGGGCTGCCAATAGCTAAGCCTGTTAGGGAATTCTGTTGCCCAGCTCCTTAATTAAAAGAGTTGAAACAAAGAGGTGTGGAGGCAGGAAACCTCAGTGGTCATGCTGCTGGTACAATGAGTCCACTGTGACCCAAAAGCTGATCCATTATTCCAGTCAATGTGGGAGACCACAGCAGCCACATATTCTCCATCCACCCTGGCTGTATTGATCAGATCCCGCTGCGGCTTGGTTGAACAGATGGCTTGTCGGCTGGATCAGATATGGTCCCCGTTCTATACGGCGTGATTCTGGCCTTTGGCGAGTGATGAACTGTAGGGTCTGTGCAAAGAAAGAGAAGAAAAGATGAGAGAGAGCGAGAGAGAGGACAATAAAAAAATCAACTTGGGCCAGAATGCTGGCTGCACTGATGCTGATACAGTGGCAGAGCAGAATCAGTTTATCACTACTGCCGCCAGTGTGGCCGGGAACATGGGGCTTGTTATTGTTGCTAATACTGTAATAATAGTATTTTGAAATTAAAGTGAACATGTAAGATAGAGCGGAGGTGGTACACACACACACACACACACACACACACACATAAAGAAAACACATTTATTGTGTGTGTGTGTGGGTTGCTGGTGGTGAGGTGCTCAGCCATTACCATCAACAAGGCATCACAGTTGTCAAGGCAACACTGCTCTTTGACTGCTGCCTCCAGACGCTCGACCACCTGGTGTTGCTTTCCACTTCCGGACTTCTGTCACAGTGCTCTGCCACAGCATCTCTCTCTCGCTCTCTCTCTCTGTCTCTCAAGCTCTTCCTCTGTCTGTCTGTCTCCTACTATGTGCTAATGTTTTTTTTATGGCTTGAGGAAGTCGAGGAACTAAACAGCACTGAATAACTGAGGAAGGTGCTGCTCCATTTTTTAGTGGGATCACCAGGGAATAAACTCGGTTCATGAGCAAATAGGTGACGATTCAGTCGAACCAATTTCATGCGTCTGAGGTGATGGGCCACCATTTGTGTTTGGTTGATGGCGGGGGGGAGAGCATGTTGGACGTTCAGCTCCTAAGATCTCCCATTGTTGTCCATTTGGGTTGAGATGTTGAGGCTGTGAAGAGCCTAGCATATGATTCGCATTATTTTCTATATTCATTGAACCACTAAGTGAGACTCACGTGAAAGCATCTGCATTCGTTATGTGTCCCCGCTCCTTTAATCAGGTTTTGTCCTGCCTGTGCGTGTGAACATGTTTGTGTACGTCAGTCAGTTGGGATACCATAGACATTGTTATATAACTCGGGGGGTCAAGGCCCGTTCGAGGGGCTGTGAGATGAACCTGAGGGGTCATGAGATGATGAATAAGACAGGAGAACTCGAGAATTACTGAATACTTTAATATTTTCAGGCCTCAGATTAAGCAGGAAAACAAAATCATCCCTTTTTGGTTGATGACCCACGCACGTATTCTGGCAATGATGGCCAAAAAGGTTTGGGTCCACCATTATAGATGAAGCTCTGCAGGAAAAGATACTTTATAGTAGATATGTATAGTACTTTATAGTTACTGCTTGTGCCATCCCTTTAGAGGACAGTGCTTTTCTTTTCCCTCACTTTACTGCTGGTTCTTTGGATTGAAACCCCCCCAAAGTATTCTAGTTAATAGTCAGCCACTTCCGCCCAAGGCTGCGGTTGTTTGCTTCGACATGTTGTGATGATGGATATTGGAAAGTGGAAGCCCGGTCCGGAGACATATTTGTTGACAGATGGAAGCGGGTTGACATGAGATCTGTCTGTTTGAACTGTACTGTCATATCTATTCTTTATTTGAAGAATTGGGAGGTATATTTCAAATGCATCTACAGGCGGTGCTGTCAGTCCGTCTGCCTAAGTACGGCACCAGCTGTGCTTATTTATAGACAGCTTTATCTAGTTGTAATGCTTTTTTTGGGATCAAAACGGCGTGTTTGTCTGGCAGAGAGAAAGATTGGTGGCACAGTCTGGCTCACGCTCGGTCTCCGTGCGCGTTCTTTGCTTTTTTGCTTTTCTACTCTCGCCTTCCTTCTTAGTCAGATGCAATTTCTTCTGGCAGTGTCAATCCCCACCTGAGCCCCTTTAGTGGTCCCACTGAGTCTCTGTTAGCAAACGTCTCATTATTCTTGTCCACACACTCCACAATCACCAAGGTCACCTGATACCAAGTCCACAGCCAACAGAGTCACAGTCACAGCACAACACATTGAGTCTGTCTGACACACACACACGAACACCCAAAAAAAAAATATATACATGTACTCACCCAAGTGTTCATACGCTGACGTTCAGACACACGCTCAATCATTTGCACACATAGCAACCCCACTGATGTTTCTCTTTTACTGGAAGATGTGATAAATACTAAAAAGTAAAAACAAAAGATGAAAAAACGAGGGGAGAGAAAAAGAGGATAACATAGACAAGACTGTCTCTGTGTTTTGTCATTTGTTCAACACTGTCTGACCCTCTGTTTGGAGTGCAATGACATTGACATGCTGATTTAGACCTCACAGAGTCTTTTTTTTTTTAAAGGAAGAGGTCACCCAATTGTCAAGCATATTATGTGACTGGGTGCTGTTTTGCCCTGAGGTGATTTTAAATGCCGGTACAAAACCCCTTTTAATTTTAACTGTTCTCCAAGCTTTGCCCTGTGGTTGGCGGACTCGGGGCACAGGCTAACTGTTTCCCTGCAGCACTGTAATCTGCTTGCATGGCCATGCGGGGGAATAACAATGCGTCATCGTGTGCTCGCACAGCCATGCAGACGACTCTCATAACAAGCATCCAATTAATAGATTCAAATAGTCTAATAATGAATGTGTGTCATCGCTAGTGTGTGTTTGGTGGAGTTTTGCCTAAAAAGCACAGTAGATGTTTATTTGAAATGAGCAGTTTTATAACGTTTTCACATCCAGTTATGGCATATAGAGTATTGTGTGTAGTTTTTTTTTTCCACATTGTTTTGAGGGTGCCCGTAGCACATAATTCTAGCAG